TCAATCGAAGCCAAATACATCGGTGTTTAGGAATGCTGTGCATTTGCTCAATAAGTGACAACAATATCTCATGCATCCTTTTTGTCCTTTTTATTCAATACAGATGTTTAAAGATAGATTCTTTCACCACCAACAATACTTCCTTTCTCTCTTATGGAGGACTATGCCCATTTTGATGCCTGCCCTCCTCGCATTTTTGACGTATGCTGATGCTGATATTATGATAGGAATTGTTTTTCCCAGGAACTTTTTTTTTTTTTTTTGTAATATTTGCAATTCATTAATCCATCTCTTGAATTACCAAAAAATAATAATAATAATGAGAAATGCTTTTTGTACAATCTTTTTACCCCACATTTTTATACAACTTGATATATCATTAAAATAATTCATGTAGAACCTGTGATATTAAATAACATATAAAAATTGTATAAAAAGATAAAACAAAAAAATTATCCCTATAACACCATCCAAAAACAATACTTCTTTTTTGTTGTTGATTATAAATCATATAAAAGAAAGTAATGTTTTATTTTTTAAATTTCTCTTCATCAGATCCATATCCAAATTTAGGACACTTCGAGCCTTTGTAATAAATATATAGTAGATATTGTGATTGTTCATTATAAATTATTAACTTTGTGAATCTTTTTATTTCTTAAATTTCTCTCTATCAAATTCAAATTTAGGACACTTCAAACCTTGGTAATAAATATATAATAGAAATTGTGATTGTTCATTATAAATTATTAATCTCGTAAATCGTTCATGATTGAGCATCCAATATTAACTGAATGGTATGATTAGCTACTACGTAATTAAGCATCAAATATATTAACTTAGTACTGAATTGCTATTCGTTTCGTTGCGTATCTTATTATGGTTTCGTTACATATTTGATACAGTTGATTATCAAAGAACACAACTCTGATTAAGACTTAATATAACAAATAAAAAAAAAAGGTATTGTGCAATTTGAACGGTAAAGTAGAGGATTTCATATATAAACTTGCATTTCCGAAGCCTTCTTTACGAACAAACACTGCAAGTGGGCACACCGTTCTGTCATCAGGATGGCGTCTTCCTTCGGAACATATGAAACAGCATCATCGTTTAGTTTCTGCTCTTTGGACACGGCAGCTACGTTCTACAGTGAGGACAGCTACGAGCTCGAGTTACAGTGGCGCAGAATTGAGAGACCACCTACTGTCCAGCAGGTAAGAACGTTATTATTTCCGAAAGATGGTAACTAAGAGGAGAGGGAGGTGATTGATGTCACCAATCTTGGAGCTCTTGAACGCCATGTTTTCATCGAGAAACTGATCTCTAAAGTCGAGGAGGACAACCTGCGGCTCTTGAAGAAACTAAGGATATGTTTGGATAAAAATTAGTAAAGGGAAGTGAAGTAAAAGGAGAAGAAGGAAAGAAAGAGGAAAGGAAGGAAAGTAAAAGATTAGTATTAATTTTGTTTGGATAGATTAAAAAGGAAGAAGGAAAGGAAAGCGAAGATTATATACTTTTATTTAATTAAATGAATTATAAAAATAATTATAAAGATAATTATAAAATTAATTAAAATTTTATAAATTTGTATATTAAAATTGAAGTTACAATATATATTTGAAAACAAAAAATAAAAATAAAAATAAATGAAATCTCTCCGAATTCTTATAAAGTGAAGGAATTAAAAATAAGAAATTTGGAGAGAATTTATCTCCCCTCATCTATCTCCCCTTCCATCCCCCTCCCTTAATGTTGTTATCCAATTAAGAGAGAGGAGAAGCATCTCCTTCACGCTCCTCTCCTTTCTCTTGGACTCCTTCAATCCAAACAAAAGCTAAGGGGCATTTCCTTGTTATAGTTCATTAGTGATCACTACAACCCAACAGAGTTACTAGTGAATTGCACCCTGACCAATGATCAAATCTTACCAAGAGCAGATACTAACCTAATTTTTAGTTTCTAAGTTCTAACTTTTAACCATTGCCCCTGTCGAAAAAGAAAAAAAAAAAAGAAGAAAACAAAGGCTAAGAGAAAGAATAGATAAGTAAACAAATTCTCACAATTGGAATGTAACATGTTGGAGAGGAACTGAACGTAACTCTCGTTTACAAGAATAATATATATATTGCAACGCAAAAGCAATAATACGCATCTGGTTTTAGGGTGGGTTTGCAGTTGCCAACAATCGAAGTGAGATACCAGAATCTGTGTTGAAGCAGAATGTGAAGTGGTTCATGGAAGGCCCCTTCCTACCCTGTGGAACAGCTTCAAAGGTTTATTCTCTGTAGTTTTCATCTCTTCATCTTTACTCTTCCTTGCCTTGACTAAGAATTGAGCAACATAAACTTATGGTTAGGGGCATTTTCAAAAAAAATTTAATTGTAATCAAGGAAATGAAAAACTAGAATTATTGCAGTTTACCCAAAAAAATTAAAAAAAATGATAATCCAGCAACATTAATGTTAGAAATCACATATCCATCCTCAGAAGCTCAACTTGGGGTTGACTTTGCCTCTCTCTACAAAGAATCCCATCTGTATAGGTAAGTCAAACAAGATAAGTGAGTCAAAAGAATTGTATGAGAAGATTTAATTTTGATCAGTACTGGTATTTGAGACGAGTGCCTGAGAGAGATACCGAAGAATGACCATCAAGTAAATAATAATTCATCATTGCATATCCTAATCAATTGATACCAAGTCATACTATGAGATTTTCCCTGTAGGGGAAACAAAAAACTAGTCAAAGAACTGAGCCTTCCACCGAATGGCTCAGAAGAGCTGTGTTTTTCCATGCATTTTCCACAAAACGGATGGGAGCAGTTCAAAGCATATGCCTCTGGAAACAACACTTGTCCTATTGGAGAAGTCCCAAATATAACTTAACACGCCTGTTAATGGTCATTGCATCTTCTTTCCTCTCTGGACTGCTTCTCTGGCAGAAAGGGCAGAAAATGTAAGCAATTCTCCTGATATTTTTTCCCTTTGGTATTTTTATCAGTCATTAAATGCCATAATAATTTTACTTTTCTGTTGAGAAAGTTAGGGGTATGATAAAGCTGTAGTTAATTTAAATTGAACACCAGTTGGGTGAAATTAGTAGGTTATAAAAGTTACCAACTAACATGCTAAGCTTGTCTTCTTTCTGAAGAGGAGCTGAACGGGATCTTTTCAATGTAATTGGATCATTGTATGTTTTCACGGTAGTCACAGGGTTATCTGGTTGTACATCTGTACTTCCATTGGTAGCTGCTCAGCAGATTGTTGTCTACAGAGAGAGGTTTGCTGGAATGTATTCCTCATGGGCAGATTCACTGTCACGGATTTGAAACTCTGATGCATGCATTCCCACTGCCCAGCATTTCCAAATGATAGACATTGGATCTTTAAGCTTCTAATTCTTAACACAAACATGTTTTTTATGCTGCAGTTGATTATTGAAATCCCATGTCTTGTTTGAAGCAGTTTTGTTTTCAATGATTACATATCCAGCAGTCAACTTCTATGGGTCAGCCTACAAAGTATTTTGGTGCCTCTATGCCATTTTTTGTACGCTGATCAACTTTAGATACTTAGGAATGATGCTTGCTTCGTTGGCTCCAACTTTCCAAGTGGCTTCAATTTACACAAGTTTTTCTAAGACATTGCTAAGTTTGATCTCAGGGTACCTCACACCAGAACCAGTAAGCCACCCATCTCTTTCCTTAGCTCAACAAAATTAAATTAAACCACAATCCCATAAAAAAATTTTGATTTTTATTTTTTTATATTCAGCAAACTCAACATGGTACCTTTCACTTGCAGTTATTACCTAAATGGTGGGTTTGGGTTTACTGGATTTCCCTATCTTCATGGACCCTGAATGCACTTCTTACTTCACAATACGGAGATGTAAAGAAGGAAATCACTGCATTTGGAAAGAACACAACAATAAGTGCCTTCTTGGAAAGCTATTATGGGTTTAGACATCAAGACTTACCCATCACAGCAATTGTACTCCAGCTTTCCCCCTTCTATGTGCATTCATTTTCTCCTACTGTATAGCTAAACTAAACTTCCAAAGGAGGTAAAGACATGCATTTTATGACCCTTTAAAACTCCTACTGAGGCCTTCTGACATACAGTAGAAATAAGGATTATCAATATCACCAATTACCAAAACATGCAGTTCTATGCTTTTGGTGAAATGTGCCTGGTTTAATCACCAGATAAACTCAATATTGCCCATATTCAACCTCAGATATGATAACACTTGGAACAAAACTTTTCACTTGACTTTCCCATCTGCTAACATGAATTCGCGCACAGAAGAGTTTCTCCGAATGATTGAGGTGGTCCGTGGATGAGATGAAAACAGGAATCCAGCAACCAATCGCCGTGAATGCGTCGCAAATTTTTGGCAAATGCATTAATTATTTGATCTGGAGAACTGCAGACGATAGCTGTACTAATTGCGAAAAATTAAAGGCAATCTAATACTATTAGCTACATAATAAAAAAATTAAAGACAATTAACACAATCAATCATTTAAATGATACGTAAAATTATATAAAAAAATGAAATAAAAAAATTATACAAAAATTATTTCCTAATAAGAAAAACTCATTCTTCCATCAACGTAATTCATCAACATGATGCACATTACTGTTTCAACAAGAAGAGTTTTTCCTGATGATACATGAGAATTGCCGAACACAAAACATTATTACTATGGAATAACGTTACAAAGCTACCTCTCCCAACATCAGTTTTCAAGTTAGGAACCCAGAGAGAGACCTATGTACTTACATATTTAGATTACAATGAACAACAAATAAATACGTCAATCACATTACTGTATCAGGAAATTCAGTTCCTCGCGATGGTTACGCACGATATCTTGTCTCAACACAAACAAATACAAACATCTATTACATGTTATCCAGTTGAGAGTTAATGGACTTCAGATCGATCCGTAGTCCAGCATTTCCCACCTGAAGGGACCGAATACATAGATGACTTCAGGATAGCTCTTAAATAGTAGAGCAACACAGACACAGACTGCAGCGACGGCCACCATTGAGAGCATTGCCGGCCTGTAAGCTAAAGATCTGCTTGGCGTTCTGTAAACCAGCCTCCGGTCACACAGCCTACACTGCCTTTGGATGGGTCTCAATCTAGGCTGTCCAATTTCAAGGCTGGAGGTTGACTCACTACATTGTTTCTGGGTCTTATTGTAGTCTTTGATGGCACTAGGAATTTCAACCGCAACATGCCCGGCAGTTGGTCTCTTACTGATTTTCCTCTGGACCAGGTGGATGTATGAGTAGTGGCCGCGCAAGCGTGCATAATCTTCAGGCGTGGAACCACTGCTATCACGAGTGCTGTTCCATGCTTGAATGCCCACCTGAATTACCAGAACAAGTTAAGAAATTGTTTCTGACACAATAGCATGAAGCTAATAGTACTGCTAACTGTATGCAATTTTACTGGTTGTCAGAAATGACTGATTGATGCAGCAAACAGGTCAGAGAAGATCAACCAAACAAAAGGAATAAATTAGAGGACCAAAATTCGGATTGAATCTGGCTGTGAAGTCAAAGCACTAGGGGATATCAAAATCATGCTAGAAAATGCAGAGATAAGATCCTGTGAGGAAGCAAGCTTCCTAGCTTTGTCAGAAATAAATTACACATTACCTTTCTGGGATCATCAGTCAATGCATCCAGCACATCCTCAGAACCATCTTTCCCGGCTGCAATGTGCAGAGGTGTCAAACCTGCTGGGCCTGTGACATCAGGTCTAAACAAGAAGCTGTCACGACCACCATCAGCTAGTACCTTGTGCTCAGATCCTACTTTATCTGAAGCTCTGTCAGGGGCAAATCTTAGAAGGAGCTCAACTAGAGGTCTACTGTTTTTCCTCACAGCTCTGTGTAGGAGACCCATCTCTGTTAATGCAATGTTAAGGGAAGGATGCTCCCCTGAACCCACAGTTCCCTCAAGCAGAATATTTAGGAGTTTTTTCACAACAGCACACCACTCATGGTCCATAGAGAACTCCATAAGCCACTTGAACCGTCTTAAAGGAAACAGCTCCGGGTTGGGATCCAAGGGACCCAATCTAGATTTCAATTGACTTCTATGAAGAAGCCAACCAATTTCATGAATGAAGTCCATGGCTTGATCCTTGGCTTCGAAATCTTCAGTTCCACCAACATCTACATCACTTTCAGTAAACTCCAACAAATTCTCAAGCATGCGGATCTCTGAACAGACATCCTCCTCAGTGACAATGAAAGGGAAGAAACTGCTGCTGAAACCATGATCTTCAATCTGGAAGGAATCAAGATGAACTTAGGGACAGGCACCAGGCACCAGGCACCATTCATTATAACATCCATATTTTAAAAAGAACATCACCATACCGTTAGCAGTTAGCACATGCATGTAAAGGGAAAACGACAATGAAATCAAGATAATAAAAAAATTCATTACATATAGCTTCCCTATAACATGGAATCCCTCCTCTACAGACAATAACAATCAATCATCAAGGAACTAATGTGTGTCCAGCTGTTATTGGTTACAGTACACATATAGTGCCCGACATCTTAATTTCATTGGATGAAAAATTTTCCCCACTCTCTCCATTTCTCTCAAATCAAACAGGCTCATAACGTGAGCAACCTTTGAGTCTCTAACTCACACTATCACGTCAAAAAGACTTCAATATATATATATATATATATATTTAATGGCCAAAAAGACTTCAATAGTATTCTCATGCAAAATTCCATTCCTTTACTGAGATTGAGGAAAATCAGAATGTCTTGGCAATTAAAATGCTAGTAAGCCCGGATTTTCACTTTTCTTTTTCTTTATTTTAAGAGAAAATTTGGAAAAATTAGTTGCTAACATGTTCAGGATGTGGCTGGATGGAAACATTAAGCTCCTAATTGTGTGCTACCATGTCAAAATTATTATCCCCTATCAAAGGAAACAAACAAGGAAGAAGAGAAGACAAGAGAAAACAGAGAGGTGAAGAGAAGTAAAAGAAAGATCACCTCAAAAAACCCCCTCCCAGTCATTCTTGGGATAGAGCAAGAGAAGTTAACACATTGCAGCTCATCATGCTCCTTAATATTATCATTAGCCGACAACTCATGAGTATCTTCCTGAACCAGATACTTCCCTTCTACTGCACAGAGCAACCTGGAAAAGAAGTTCAAAAACATAAAATCTATATGGGAGCAGAACAAAACCAATAGTCCTACAATTTCAGGGCAAAAGAAAGAAAAGTGTATAAAACTCAGGAACCAGATAACAGAACTAAAATCCGACTTCACATTTAGCAGTAAGGTAAAATCAAGAAATCAGGTGCAGTGAATCAGTGATAGACTAAACATTCATAAAAGAGAAGGGCAATGATACCTTGTGGCAGGCTGACTGAGATTGATGCCTTTCACTGAAAATTGAGCTATTTCACTAGCAGATATTGCAATTGGTTTGACCATTGTAATTTTACTGTAATTGTTACTTCTGAGAGGTAAGGATGAGTCTACAACAACCTGACCTGTAGCATAAAACCAAAATGTCAGAATCCATAATCCTGCATACATAGGTGTTATTGTTTCTTAATTACTTTGTCATGCTAATTTCATAAATTCTAGGAAATATAAACAGAAAAACAGACCATTATAAATGAATGCTATTTGATGTTGCACCCTAATATAAACCCATCCAGTCCTCCAAAAAGCGTCATCTGAAGTATCCACAAGCCGATTCAAACTGAAACTCAGATCACAGCAAAGCTGAAAGAAGATGGTTGAGAGTTACAAAGATGAAGTAGCAACAGTACAAAAATAAATTAACAATAGGATTCAATGCATGGTTTCACTTTCAAGCAGACAAAGCTTACTTCTTCCCATGCAGCCTCAGCTTGACGTAGGTAAATTGTTAGAACAATGCAACCAGGCCTGATGTAACTCTCAATGTCAGTTGGACTATGAGATAACCAGTCAAGAATCTGAAAGTTCAAACATTTATATCATTATACTTCCTGAGAAGCAAACCTCAGAAAAATGAAAACAATCATTCAAGTACCTGAGCTCGCAAGACAAGAGGAAAATCATTGGGCACTTTCCCAAATAGTTTAAATACAATTCTATCTGTACGGCTCTGCAAGGATTAGGGTATAAAAAATGTTAAAATGTTGAAATACATAGAACCGTTACAACACACTTAACCAAAGGAGTGGCATCTATGTATTGAATTATGATTGTAAGCCAGAAAAGGGGAGATAAGCCATATGCCTTTGGTATATCCAACAGACAACATGTGTGAAGCATTAAATTAGCCAGTTGAGAATAAGATAAACAAGCCATGAATGACCTCTACTATGAGACAGATTGCTACTTTATTATATACAATATCACACTGATGTCCAGAGAATAGGGAGGAAAAGCATTGATTACTAACAATCCTAGAACACATAACCTAATCACAATTTCCACAAGATCCTCAACAGACTTGGGCCATCCACCAAGAATCCACAAAGTCTCAAACCCAGAATAGTATCCATGGAAGATAAGTATCAAAAATTTAGAAATAAAAATAAAAATACCTGAGCATCACCACTGGAACTAGAAGGTGATTGGGCAGAAGCGGAATCCGAGTTTCCACTTGTCTGAGGTGGACTTGACTGATGAGAATCTTGTTGTGCCCATGAAGGGCAATCAAGGGAGCTGCTCACCAGATTCACAGGAACAGGTGATCTCTCAGTATCATCTGTGCCATCATCGGAGTCAATATATACGTCATTCAGGTCAAAGTTATTCATCTTGATTTGTCCACCAGTGCTTTTTTGGACTTCTACACCCCTAGTACCATGGGAATGTACTCCTTGCTGAGGCACTTCTGATACAGGTATTGCAAGATGTTCCTTAAAGGGCCGAGGAAGACCTTGTCCATTTGATAATAAAGCTGAAATAGCTTCAGAATTTACAATAGAAGCACCATCATTTGCCAAAAGCCCAGATATGTTTCTTCCCCCATGTTCACCAGTATGGCTTGCAAGGCTCCTTAAAAGAAGAGATAGGAGATCCTTATCTGTGGCCGGATCAGATTGGTTGGCTGTAATTTCAGAAAGACAGAATAACTCACCTCGGGTAACATGAGAGCAATTAAAAAAAAAAAAAACTCCACTTAGAAATTTGATAACTAGAAACAAATAATAAAATAAAAGAACTAGTTCAGCCTTATATTTTAATTTTACCCAAAAACAAAAGTAATTCTTGACTAGAGAGAGGGCATGTAATATTTAAAAATTATATCTTAAAATTTCTCATCATAGGTAAATTACAATGTAATCCCCACACAATTCTTTTCAAAACAAGTAATAGATAAATATTAGACTAAAAACTACATAAGTTTTTCTTTACTTGACCCCAACCATTCAATGCCCCAACAACGAAAGTAAGGGGCATGCATCATTGGCTGCAATGGATGGCAAGGCAAAAACTGTCTGTTTATTCCATGAACAGACCACTAAAAAAAATACAGGCTTATAAAGAACTAGGAAGCAACCTTAGGAAAGCCTCTCACATCTAGTCTACAACTTCAACTTTTTACCACTATATAAACAAATTACAAAATATTAAAACACCACAAAAGTAGCAATATTTCACAATGAAGATTAAAGGTAATAAGCAACAGGTGAAGCCACAGAATCTCACAGCCAAACAACCACCTCAATTTAGGAGGGAAGTCATATAGTTACTTACAATGCATGTTAGAAAGTATCCTCAACAGACTTATCAATAGATAACCACTAGTCTGATCATCATTTACTGAACTTCCATTAGCAACAGTGTCTGGATTTGTTTTCCGCCTCCTTTTATTATGACCAGCTAAACGCCTGCGACAGCTTCTCTTACCTTCATCAAACTCCTGGAGGACATGAAACCTGCCAATAACACAATGAACCATCATCTTTGACAATAAAGACTTTACCTTAGATATTCATAACTACCTGACTTCACTTTCATAAACTTATTGAATCAGAAAAAGTTTTAAAAGGCATATACTTGGGAGAAATCCTAGGAACCAGAATCTCAGCAAAGTGCTGCAAGCTTTGTACGAGAAAATGAATGAGCCAAAACAATATCAGACACTTCCACTGTTATAGCTTGATTGGATTCCATGATATTACCAGAATATTCAATTCTAGCTCAACAAACAAATAGTGTAACAGGATATAACTAAAAATTACCTGCTACATTGTTGACAGAACCGCTGCATGACATTTCCAACAAGTGCCTTACTAGCCTTGGAATGCATCTCACAAACTTTATGTCGTCTATGATAATCCTTTGCATTACTTAGATCAGCCCCACAGTCCTCCACCTGACAGATTGCACGATTTGTGGTACCACCCCCCAACTTAGTCTTCTTCCCACTTGTTCCTTCCCAATTTCCCATCTCCCTTTCACTAGTTGGATAACCATGACCACCAAGCTTCAAAGTAAGGCTACCTGCTTCATCTTTCTGGCTGTCATCTTCAACTACAATAACCCTCCTCCGCTTCTCCAATTCATGTTTTCCTTTCTCAGCTCCAGGATTCACTTCATCAGAGCAAGATGATGAACTATTGGATGAATTTCCAGCTACTGGAATGCCTGCTCCTAGAGGGAATAATTGTCGGCCCATGCTATCAGTAGGCACCGAATTTAACTGGTTAGCAATGAAAAGATCTCCATCCCATTTCCAATCATTCAAATCCCAGTCTAAAGTCCTTTTCCCTACCGCCCGCAAATCCAATGGATTCATGGCATAGAAATGATGACCTTCACCTCCAAATCTAGCCTCCATCAATAAAACTAAGATTCCCAAGATCTAAATCAAGTAATTTATAATTTTATTCCCAAAATAGAGAACAACTGCACAAACAAGGAAACTTTAACCCTACTCTACTAACAGCTCAAAAATCACCCCCAAAGATAGACATCCCCTCAACTATTATCTAATCAGCCTCAGTTCTTCAGAAAAAATCCGGAAACAGTACTCCAGCACATCCATGACCCCAATTAACAGCCACCCACACACCCAGTAGCTCCCAAATCAATCACCAAATTCTTCAAAAGAACTCCCCAAGCATGAATCCTCAATCCCAAGCACCGAATTCACATCTAAAATAAAAAAACAAAAGCTACATATCCGCATAAGTCTAAAGCTGGAATCAACCATAGCTAAAACTGAATTAGCCCAAAAAAACAAAAATTAAAGATAACTACTTGCCAAGACTACTGCCGGCGAGCTTGGTAGGTCCTTGCCGGAAAGTGCGCGAAGGTGGATGCAAGTGGAGGAGATGCGAAAGGCTCCGATGGTGATGATGAACCGATGATGATGATATTGATGGTGATGATGTTGCGAACGTGTTTGTTTATTCGCTTAGTGGGAATGTAGGTAATGGTAAGGTATGGTATGGTACACGAAAACAGGATGAAGTTTTATTACACATGAAGAAATTTGAGGCAAAAATGTATTTTGAACTCCTCATCTTACCAAATTTAAAGACTTTAGCCCCTTACCTTATATTATAACACTTTTAACCCTTCATTTTACTAGATTTGTAAATTTTAACCTTTCACCTATTAAAATTAAAGAAAATAACCCTTATTTTATATTGACTGTTAACTTTGTTAGTTGAAAGTAGATTTTTATCAATTAATAGTCAATTAATAGCTAATTAAAAGAATTAATAAAATATTATAAAATTAATTCTATTAACTCTGTTAGCTGTTAAAAACCTTATTTTAACTAACAGTCAAACAATAGTTAGTTAATAGAGTTAATAAGCAACTAATAGAACTAATAAAATGTTACAAAATAAGAGCTATTTTTTTTCAATTTTAATAGGTGAAGGTTAAAACTGTCATAATATAAGGTAAAAAACTAAAACCTACAAATCTAATAAAGTGAGAGACTAAAAATGTCATAATATAAGATGAGAGGTTAAAACTTTTAAATTTGACAAGATAAGGGACTAAAAGTAAGCTTTTACCTAAATGTGAAGGACCGTATTTTTTTCCTGCAGGAAATGTGACTAGAAAGAAAAATATAGAGGGAAATTATATCATTTTAATAATTAAAATATTAAAAATAATATTATTTATTTATTTTTTATAGATTTAATTTAATTTTCAAAATTTTTTTAAATATAAATTTTCAATAAAAATATTTTATAAGAATTATATATAAAAATAAAAAATTTT